AGGTTTGCATCAGATTCAGAACATTCTTAATTTCATGGAAACTGAACACCTTATGCGAGTTTTAAATGACTAAATCTCACAATGCGCTTCCGCTTATCGAAACGATTGTGCATTATCTACTCACAGTCATGTTGTGTGGTCCACTATGTCTCCTCTTTGCTGTAATGAGGAAAGTACTTTCTAGAGTGATGAGAACAGTGCGTTCAGGTCAGTATTCTAATGTCTCTCCTTCGAGTTGCATTTGAACTCGGTATTTACATTGAGCTAAGAAGCTGAGCGACGTACCTATGGAGAGCGGAGAAACTTGTATTCAGGCTCTTAGCTATCTATTTTGTAATGCAATTCTGACTTTGGATAAATAGGATAGAAACGTCCTGGAGCGGGAGAGCAGGTGGTTTCTTGTGCACGCGCTCCCCCGGCGCTCTCGCTGTGGTGACCTTGTTGGGGTCTCCGCCGAAGCGCTTTCCTCTGCACCAGCGGGGCATTGTTGGTCCTTCAGCCCGCGTTTTCCTGGGGCCTGGAGTCCGCCGTGGTGAGGAGCCTCAGAATGTGCACTTGATTTTGCCGTATTCAGAAAGCGTAAGAGATAATACTAACATATTTCGTTTGAGTATTTTCTCTCAAGACTGTATTGTAAAATGTGAACCATCTGGAACAAGATAGAAACGTGGGGTTTCTTGCTTACAATTAAAATATATCCTTTCAATCAATATTTTGGGATTAGAATGTCTTCGTAAAAAATTAAAAAATAGAAGCTGACATTTTTTCTCTAAAATGTGCATCTACTGGAATGTCGCGGTTCAATTTGATAGTTACTGCTTGGTGAAATTCGGTTTCTCAGTATCAGTGACTGCAGTGGTAGCTAACGGTGTTGCGGATTTCTGCGTAGTTGTCGGCGCCGCGCTCATGACTAGGTAATTACACACTTCAGAACTCGTCAACTGTGGAAGGAGAAGAATTTTAAAAAATATCAGGCCGCGACGCGCGTTTGGGACAACGTTTGTAATTAGGGAAAAGCTTCATCGGCTTTGTTGTAAGGGCACTAGTAAAATAAAATAAAAATCTTAATATTATTGCAATGAGTATATGCAGAGTACATAATTATTACGTAAAAACAAATACATGAGAAAATATAGATCTAAACGCAGGGAAGAACAACCCCGAAGAGGCAAGACCGTACATCTGTGGCAGAGGTTTGGGAGATGTCCGTGTGGGTGAGCTGCACGCAATTCACAGTGATATTGGGGTTCGCAGTAAACCTCTTCTTCGATGCACACGATGGTACATCCTATGAACGCAATTTTCGTAAACGACTACAGCAAATACTATAGTATCAACATTCAATTTCTTCGCTGTTATTGCAAATATATTGCAATATTTAACTAGTGGCCTCTTCAAATTCGCTAAAATTTCTTTGCGAGCCCCTAAACGGCCACGATTATAACATGTTATTGATAACGGATTTTTGAAATGAAACAAACTTTATAATTAAAGAATTTGAATTGTGTTCGACTGATGGTTATAATGAATTGTTTGCGGATACGTGAGTATATTGTAACATACGTTTAAATTTGACATATATTTGTAATCTTTGACATATATTTGTAATCAGATAATATTTTTTGAAAGATTGACCTAAAGATGTAGAATAGTATTAAATTATTTTGGCGTTCTCTCATTATGCAGTGTATACTAATATTTTTTTAAATGTATTATGATTAACATGAACTCACCACTTACACATAACACACGTCAGTTACATGGAAGTTTACATTTACAGTGACAAGTGGAAATCTTGCAATAAAATCACCCATGATGTTTAATATTCGAATTTTTTTACTTGCCCGATACTTGTCTATGATCATTCGCACGAATGAGTAGTTGAAATAATACCGAACATTTTCCTTGATTAACCAAATCTTCTTTATGTAATAAAATATCGTAGGCGTTATAATATTGTCTGCCTTTGTAATTTTCAAAACGGAATTTGAATTTTTCGTAATACTTCAAAAGTAGTTTACATATTTGCTTTTACTTTCTCGTACATGTACGTGCGTATTTTTTTTCCAAAACGTCCTTCCGTCGTCTATGAACAACACTAAATTGTGTAAGGTTTCTTCCAAAACGAATAATCCCTGCAATCTGGCCTCATTCAAAGCTCTGCAATTTTGAAAACCGTTCATTAATTTATGGGTGTATTTAACTTAAAGCCCCTACAACGTTTTCAAAATTTTCTCAAAAACGGTTCCACATTTTGCCTTAAATTTCATGTAAGAATAGAGAAAAATGTACAAGAATGGTATAGGTCCGATTTTCTCTCTCCATATATACATTTTCGAAAATAGCAAAAGTTTGAAGTTTTGGGCCCCTTTCTACAACTACAAAATTGAAGATACAGAATTTTCTTTCAAATGATATTTTTTCCATAATTAGTTCTTTCGTTTAGGTCACGTACATTTTTTTGAAAATTTTAGTATTAAAAAATTTAGAAAACAACCTTTTTTTAGAAACAATTTCAATTTTTTTCTTTGAACTTTTAATAGGGGTCCTGCTAAATTTATTGACTCAATTTAGATAACAAGCTCCATTTTTTATTAATAATTATTTTTAAAACAAATACTGCAAATGATGAATTATGAAGGTAATCGAACACATTTTTCCGTGAAAATCAACTCAACATTCCGCATTTTCAAAATTAGCTCAAAGCGTTTTCTTTAAACATCATTCATCAATCATAAAATTCATTTCGCTGAACCTTTTTTGTTTTTTTTTAAATATGCAAATATTCTCTCAATTTGTTAATATGCACAATTCTGGCATATTTCTAAATTTGTTTCCACATTTCTGCAAGTACTTCAAATAACATCAATCAAGTTTTTCAATAAAGACGTCCATGAAGGTTTTTCGAAAAGTCAAATATTTTCTGTAATAGTGAGCTTCAAATTTCGCATTTACTCTAACGCTTTTTACAATATTTACTTAAAAATGGCTCTAAATTTTTCAAAACAAATTTTCATATGGGAGGTTTTACTCTTCTATAACACCTATAAAGTAATATTTCTGGTCGACCGTTATATAACCGAAGAATTGAGAAAATGTTAATAAATATGTACGTTGGTCGGCGATATATGGCAGGTGGCAAGAGGATGAGGCAATAAACCCAGACCAAGGAAATTAAAAAAATAACTAGTTCGACAAAGTCTGTGGCATCCTGTAACAACACTATTTTTCACTGACAATAAAGAGACAACTATACTGCATTACACTATGTATTATTGCACTGAATGAACATCAATCAAATTGAAGCAAGTTTTAGGACATAGATGTTTGAGAATGTAAATTAAAAATATGTTTAATATAGACTTTATTCTTCCTAGTCTTCGTCTTCTGGCTGTATTGCTACCATGTCATATGGAATTATTTGAAATAATTTAAACGATACTAAAAACCTACCTCTTAAAATCCTATGTGAAAATACAGTAAATGGAAAGAGGAATAGTTCTGACTCACCCATAACACCAAGCCGATAGTTCATTGTAACGAACACGATTCCTTTACGTAGAATTGGATCCGCCCGAATGTGCTCCAGGTTGCCGGACCACTGGATGAAGGCTCCTCCGTGAATGAACACGAGTACAGGTTGCTTTGAAGACACTGAATTTCCAGGAGTCTGCCCGAGGAGAAGCGTTTTAAATTGCTTTATGTTGTAAACATAACTAAGTGAACAAAATGAGTAGGAACTACATAATGGTATGAAATTTAATGATAGAAAATATTTAATGGAAACCTGCTTTTATAAATCTGCTTTGAATTAAATTAATAAGTAGTTGCTTCTGTAACCAACTAATAGAAAAAATATATCAAGAGTTAGTTAATTTGAATCGTCTGCGCTGGGTGACTAGTGGAGCCCCTACAATATCTCCTAGTTTTCTTTGAAATAGTAGTACACATTTTTGGGAAGCGGTATATTATTCCATAGAATTTTTCTATTGCAGCGGTACTAATTAAGTTCAATTTTTACTATCTCGTCTTAATACTTACATAAGTGGAAAGGTGTAAAATAAAAAGTAAGGAGTAAAAAACAGGAAAATTATTCTAATGCTGTAGTATTACATACCGTATACTCAAAAAATGGCATGTTTTGCAGAAAATCTCGTATTGTGATATCAAAAAGGGGATACATTTTTGTTTAATAAATATAAATTACTTTCTCCTTTTGTAATCGTAATTCATGTTTTTTGGACATTGATACCAAAAATCCGGTTTCTGTAAACGGGATCTGTCGGTCGGTCTGTGGTTAACTCAAGCCGCAATTGTTCAGACAATTTTCTTCAAAATTGACGTTCCTCGATCGATCGGAATGAACTAGAGGCCCTGTGAAGTTGAAGAGGATATTTGAAACAATGAAGCCTAATAATGGTTTCACACTTGATGATGGCACTGAGGTTGTGGGGGTCTTGTTAGACAAAGTTAGATGTGATTCTTCTAGACAACCTATTAGCTATTATTAATATTTACAAGCTCCCAGATACTTCTACTATCCAGTTTTGCAATGGAATATAATCTGTTACTTACAAGTTCAGCGGTACATTGCGTGTTATTGGATTAGCAGACTTTAACATTGACGCTCGCTTCTCTACCTCGGGTTACTCTAAAATACAAAATGGTTTTGAACCAATGTTTGACCTTATTGAATTCATCAGTGAGTCAACGAGAATTACTGACATAACTTATACTGCGTTAACACACTTTTTGAAGGTAAATTTATCAATTGTGGTTGATTCTCCTGGCATTAGTGACCATCTTATGGTATATTGAACGATTGCATTGAATGACGAAAAGGTACCCAACCATGAGATTTTCGATCTATTCCACGAGAATTGTTCAAGTATATGGAAATAATTTTGATAGGGTCGTCATTTATAAAAATTCAATATTGATGAAATGGGGCCATTATATCAAAAATTGGGTACATAAGCTTGTAAATATTAATAATAGCTAAAAGTTGTCTAGAAGAATCACATCTAACATTGTCTAACAAAACTCTCACAACCTCAGTGTCAGCATTACGTTTAAAATCAGCGTGATGGTTTTGCACTATTAAAAACGTACTCTGCGAAAAGAGCCTCATCTTCATGGATTACTGTTCACACAAATGTTTCCCTAACCTGGTATCTCCCACCAGCAGAACACCTCTCCTGCCGGAACAAGTTCTAAGCTCCCGACCGGTCTTCCGGCATGTGTGCATGTGTAGGGCGTGTTAGTGTATGCTTAAGGCAGATCGCGGTCTGTGGCCCGGTTGACTGGTCTGGCATTTTCCTGGTATTGATCGTAGAAACCACGGGGAACTACCGATCAGAGAAGCCGGCCGCTAGAATTCTTCTCCAGACAGCGACTGAACTCAATCTAGCTGACAAGCTAGTGTCGAAAATCGGGACTCGAACCTAGGAGCTCCCAATCAGAGGGAATGCAGTGACATCAGTTGATATCCTGAGCCATCTCTCCCGATCAACTTTCGGGACAAATGCTACTCTTCTGTTTGCCGTTTTGTTTTCACACTGCACGCTTAGCAAATCTTAACAAATCTTTTGAGTTTTCATCATTTCCCTGTAACTGTAAATACGTTGTGGTTATATCTCTAAGTGCTTTCTCCATTCGCATTGTCTGATTTAAGGCCTGTAACTTTTTTTGAAAAGGCTGTAGAAATTCAATTACAACGCTAAATGAAAGAATGCACTGATACCACTGAGACAATCGGCATTTCCTCAGGGTCATAGTCGCAATAGGTCTTTTTTATTTATATCTGATCTCATTCTCACTACATATGATAGGGGTACGGTGTTGTTTATTTGTCTTTTAGACCTCTCAAAGGCCTTCGACACTATTAATCATACGCGTTAATTCAATAAGTTGAGAACCAATATGTTTTGTGATTCTGCGGATTGTTGGATTCGGTCTTAGTTGATTGATTATTTTTGCCAACAGTTTTTAACTGCAAACAATATGTCCACTTCATTTCGCTTTTGACACGTGGTGTTCCGCGGGACATTGTACTCGGTCCTCTATTATTAACATTTAATGTTGCTGACTTTCTGAATCTGAAACTATTGTTTGAAATTGTCAGCTGATGACGCAAATCATTCACACTTTTCATCGTTCAGGACACCTGAACACTGTTGGAAATGTTAATTCGGATTTTCAGCAAATGTGTACTACCTGGTGTTCTGATAATAGACTGCCATTGAACCTGAAAAAAATCGTATATTCATTGATAGATCCGACTGGTAGGTTGTCAGATACTGACCTGCCATGCTTCAGATTGCCTGCTAAAAATCAATTTTCATATTAAATAATGTAGTGGCCTCTGTGATTATTGAAATTTAACAACCTCACCATATATTGATACTCCTGTGTTCTGCAGACTTTCACTCGTTCTATTTGGAGATTTCCCAAGGATAAAAATCTAAAATACCCCACAGGTGTTGTCTTTGTGCTGAGAGTACTATTGTTTGGATAATTTTTACCTGACACCGCATGACTATTTTGAGATTCCTTCAGTAGGTATATGTTACGAAAAAAATTCGTAACACATGTTACAATACGTTCTATGTTACAATTCAAAAAATATATAAAATGACAAAAATGAACACTGTAACTAAATAAATGAGAAATGCAACGACCTGAAATGACAGAGGTGATACAAATAGAATCATTATTCAAACAGGAACCAAATGATACGTACCGGTACAAAAAATTACAGAGTGTTCACTTACCGTTCTAATTTTAAACATTAGCATGTTCGATTGCCCGATCTTTTATCTTCTGAAATAGCTCATGAGTAGTAAATTGAAATTCTTTTTAGTTTCAGAAATATAGCAAAAATACGCAAATTAAGGCTCATTCGAATTTCTACGATAATTTACTGATTTTAGCTCTTAAAAATATATAATGAGAAAGGTGTTGATAGATTAGATCGTGCAATTTCGATGACGAAATTTACCAAAATATGAAATTTTATTTCATAGAGAATTAATATAATTTTTTACGGGCAAGACAAATTATTAGTGCACTATTGAATTATTTCGGCAATGATGATGTCATCTTATATTCTGGTATACGAATAAATTTTAGTGTGAGAATTTCCAATAAAATGTGGAATTTTTCTTCTTCAATGCAATACGAAAAATTAGTGAAGCATTTATTGCGAAAATCAACATATTTTAACAGTAACAAAGAGAGAGTCAATGTTAATATGTCATTTCAGGGTTAAAGTACTTTTCATTTCTTATTATTACACAGTAAAAGCAATGCATATTATCTGACTTTTTCGATTGATGACTAACAAAATAGATAAATGGATATAAATGCTTTTGAAAAAAATAATGAAACGTTTAAGAAGCAATATTTAAAAAAAACACTTCACCCAGAAAGTAAGCAAGATAGTCATCAGCGAAAAGATTAAATCAGGACCCCGGGTTGGGAGGCTGGCTGGAAAAAATCGGATTAATTCGATCCTAAATTTCCGAATAGTACATACATATATAATGAACAATTGTAGATGGATAGAATAAAGAGATATTGCGAAATGATATCTCACGTTTGAGAGACGGGAGGTGAAGACGTTCAGGTACAAACAATCTTCTTCGCCGCTGACGACGCCAGAAGTCCGTTTCTTCTGAATACACTTTGGCCCATAAGCGGTGGCGTTTCGTATTCCTGTCCATGCCTCTGCTTCTTCTGGATCCTGTGGAAAAAATTGTATTGGAATCTCTTTTGCGTACTGCAAGCGGGATATGTACTTTAGACAGGTCGGAATGAAAAATATGAAAAAAATTAAGACATGGAAATTGCGACATATAAACAATTCCGGGGATTCCCTGCCGCAAAACCTTCAGTTTTCCCCTCAGCAATACTCAGATGTTTACATAGGGCACTTCAAGGTCACGAGCTCGAAGGCGAGGAGGGCGTTGTCATGCAATCGGGAGCTCCAATACTAATAATTTGTTTTTTCTTCATTTACTAATATTTTGGATGTGATTCACGGATCAGATAACAGTACAACTTTTTCACATGTCTTGATGCTTATTATATATTTAAAAAAACTTAACTATTATTTCTTTACAATCATTTCTTAGGAAGAAAAAACCCATTGATCACCTCGCAAAAAATCATCCAAATTTGCAAATTGTATATAAAAAACATGTTTTGGAAATCTTTTTTTATTATGGTGGCATTTATGGGTGGTTTGTGTAGGTTTATTGGGACAGTTGTGTACTTGATGACATTTTATTATAAAAATTATTGTTTAACTTAATGATGTGATGTATGATAGGTTTTATTTTAATTTCTTTATGAAGTTGTCTGTTTGTAATGGACCAGGGTGCATAGGTTATTGTTCGCAGGAATTTATTTTGTATGACCTGTATTTTGTGGATATTGGTTTTCGCTGCATTAATCCAGAGAGAACAATCATAGAGCATTAGGGTTCTTATAATGGCTGTGTTAATGTTTATATGAGTTTGGCAATTTCTATAATTATTTTAGTGTGATTATTAATGGTTTTAATGGAATTAGCTTGACTTTTGTGTGTTCTGTTTTAATGTTTATATGTTATTTCCAGCTAAGCTTGGTGTCTAAATGCAGTCCTAGTTATTTCACTGTTTTGTTTTGTGGAGTCCAAGGAATGGTGTTATTCTTCAGTGTAAGGGGTGGTGGTGTTGAAATCGTTTTTCATGAAACGATTTTTGCTGTTGGCTTAACTGGGTTTAATTTAATTTACCATTTTTTGACCAAGAATCTATTGGGTTTAAATGATGTTAAATTGTGTTTCTTAATGTAATAAATGATGTGCTAGAAGAATACAATGCTGCGAATTGTGCTGTATTGATTGTGTTGGATGTAGGGATATCAGCTGTGTAAAGATTGAATAATATAGGTGAAAGTGGGAACCCCCAATGGAAGTCCAGCCAATACTGGTTTGGGGTTTGAGAGATGTTTATCTATTGAAACTGAAAATGTAAGTCGTAACGAAGCTTCAGATGGGATGCGTGCCCCCTTCTCCATCCCGCTCGTAACATTGAAGTGCCACTATGTTAAAATCGGAGTATAGAATACTTTACACTGCATGAGCAGTATGCGAAAAAAATAAGAGCGAGAGAAGTTTTACAACTCGCCTTGAAGCGCAGGTCCCCGAGGGGCGGACGTGCGAACGGGATCCCCTCAAACGCGTACAGGGTGCGTAAGGGGGAATCAGGAGGTCTCTCCACGCGTCGGCCGCGCAGAACCCCGCTCTCCACTCGCACCAAGGGCTCTCCGGCTGAGGCCCACGCGGCACAACGCAGTGACCACAGCAGGAACACCGCCGTAGGAAGTTGCATGGCGAAGAACAGTTGCGAGTTTACCTGTGAATAAACAGTTGTATCAAATTCAAGTAGGTATTCTCTCAGCTTCAGCCATTGCAAAAGTTAGTTAAGCTCACCATTTGATGTTAGTAGCTTTATTGCATGTAAAATCATGCATATCCCTAATACTTAATATAATCCCATCCCTCATGGCTCTGTTCTCGGCGCCGGGAGGGAGCGCCGAACAGTTTATGGAGATGTGATTGTTTCCAAATAAATTAATTCAATAAATTAGTGGACTGGAGAGTGAAAATTAATCTCAAAGTTGATATATCTACAAGATATATTGGATAATTAGTTTTGTTGAAATTCTAGATAACATTATATTACGAACACAAGAGACATTGATTACGTCTTTCCCATGTGATACCGTGTATTTAACATCCCCCACCTTGATACTACACATTTAAGACATTGTAAATCCTCACTATTTGAGATGTTGTAATTGTTTTATGTAAACGTTTTATGATTAAATTTGTCCAAAGAGTTGGTTTGCCCCGACCGGAATTCGAACCCGGTCTTTCTGATTTACGCCCAGCTGTTCTAACCACTATGATACCGAGACAACCAATTTGGGTTTTGAACAGTTTTCATGAGCGTGATTATCGCTACTTGTATGTTTCGTATATAATTATCACAATTCCCGTCACATTGTTGGACGCAATTACGATCGCAATACGAATATGGTGACGGGAGTGGTGATAATTATATAAGCGTTTTACGGTTACTCAGAAAAGTTTGACACTTTAAGGTCAAGAGAATTGTGTGGCTAGACGAGATAATTTGGTTTGAAGTAACATTTATCATGAAAACAATGTTTACCACAAAATATGTACAACTGACAAACAAAAAGAAAGTAAATCTTTTATAAAACGAAGTGCAGAGCTGACAATCATGCAGAAAACAATTTTCTTGATATGTATCACTTAACAAACGCCAACCCATTTTATCGAATAATCTGTTCTAGCAATCTACTATGAAATGTCTTTAATAAGCTTTCACACTGGTTTCAATTTGCTCAGTTCTTTAACTAGGATTTGCTATTAACTGTGCTCACAAAATGTTCATTATAATAGATAGGTAGTGAGTTCAAAGCAATTTGAGGGTAAATGATAAACAATGATTTAAATGCAATGATAAATGAAATGGAACTTCATTGAAACAATCGAAACTTCCCAAATGCAAAATTGGTATTGTACAAAAGATCCGTGACCTTTCAATGAACCGCCCAGGAGTATCGATCAGCGTAGAGAAGTACTAAATAGATTACAGAGCGATCGACACCCCAGGCCGGAGACCAATCAGATAGTGCGGAGTTGCGAGAGTTGTTTAGCTGGTAAGGGAAGAATAAAAGGGATATTTTACTTTCAGGCACTGGACGTGAAGGCAGAACGAAACAATACTATTGATGAATTTTCTTTGCTGAAAATTAATGGAATTCAGACGATATGAATTTAAGTGAATAGGCTTGTATATCAAGTTTTTCACAGCGTTTGGCGTCTCTGCAAATATGTCGAATGCAGCCAAAAAGTGAATAAAGAAACCGTGCAGAATTTTTTGGGGGGTCCTATTGCAGTGAAGTACTTAAATTGTTGCAAGCATGGTTCTTAGAGTTCAGATTTCAAGCTTTAATTTCATCTAAATTAGAAGTGTTTTAGATAAAAATACATTTAATAATTTTTTTCTAGAATTCTTCCATTCCTTTCTGTAAAGAATCGAACTGAAATTGTGCCAACCGATGCCTCTTTTTTAAAGAAATCAAATGTGCGTTGATAATTTCTGTATGCACATTAGAACTTCCCCAAGACGCATTTTTATGTTTCTCCCTCCGGAAAATGCGTGTTTCTAGAACACACTGTAGACCAGTAGATGCTGAGAAAAGAGGGTTAACAGCAAAAAGATCATAAACATTTCTTCTTTGGGCTGTACTCGTATGTGTACCCAGGCACTAGTTAAAATCTCATGTATTCCACTTCTCAGGCATTGTGATAAGTACGGGAGGAGCGAAAAACTGGTGTTCTTCTGAAGCCTCGTAGAAAAATAATTAATTACGTTTTAAAGATGTAAAAATTTCCTACAACTTTCATATAGTCAAAATGAAATAAATATAGTGATTATTGCAAGTAGTACTATTATTTATCTCATCGTCTGTGTAAACATTGTCTCAGAAATGTACCCTTTTTTTGGAAAAATTAATACACAAAAAAGTTATGAATTTGTGTATGTGTATCTTATTTCAGCTAAAGTCTTCATCGCTGGGACAATATAATTTTAACAATACTTGATATAATGTGAACTGAGCTAGCACAGTGGTCTTCGTGAGCAAGGGTGATTAATATATAATGCTGATAAATGAATATATCCACTTTTAAGGGAAACGAAATGTCCTACTTTTCTATATTTCCCCCCCTAAAAGTCGAGGTCAAAAACTTGGGTATTTAATAATGCCTGGGCATACAACATATAAAAATGTATTTATAACCTTTTTCGAAGTAAAATAAACATATTGACTGAACTACTAAAGGGGCCAATTTTATTATATGTAAAAATGTGTTCCTAACGGTTTTGGGAGTGAAAAATTCAAATCTGAAATTATAAATTTGCTATCAGGCACAGTTTTTTTTAGCTCAAGCTAGTTGTTTTAGACGCTAGCATTGCCAAAAGGCGGACAAACAGAGATTTGGCTTTTCGATATCAAGGACCCACAAAACATAGATTCTATCCAAACAACGTGTTGGAGAAAGTAATTTACTGTAGATAGGGATAAGATTTATCCACTTTTTTGTTGCCAGAGCACGGCAATACACGTTTTTCTATCGACAATTTGGCGTTTTTCCCCGCAGCATTAGAATACATTTTCTATACTGCGTAAGCAGTAGAGAGAAGTAAAAGTAGGCAGTTAGTTTTGTGTAAACAGGTTAACGATTACTAATATTTACCTATTGAAAGCGTATATTTAACAAATGACAGTATGTAAAAATAAAAATAAACTAATTTTTTAGACACCAGACGTTTTGAAGACGCACTTTCACTTATTTGTGATTCAATTTCACTAGAAATGCAAAAATGTTGAACTATATTTCTGGTACATAACCATTATTTTTTAACATACAGAACTTTCACCTACTAATTCGTTAATACAATGCTGCTGATGAAATAAAATTATTACGATGTAAAATATTTGACAATAGTTCCTAATGTAATCAACATATTCTCGAATATTCAAGGAGTGTGTACTTGCCTTGCAAAACACAAAACACTCGGCAAGCGTCCCGTGCCAAGGTTGTCGGATACTGAGCCATGACGCTGCGACCGAGGCTATATACGCAGTCACGTTCTGGGAGCCAGCGCCGGGGAAGCCCGAGACGATTTTCCTCCTAAGTGAGTAGCTCGAACGTTTTCTTTTTGTTCTGTGTCACACGTCAGAGTGTGTTAGGTCATTGCGCCTCCGGTCCGGTTTTCTGCACTTGGCCGTCTGCCAACTGCAAGGCGAAGAACTGTATGTTAGGCAGTAAACAGATACGGTACACGCGTGTAACGAAAGAAAATTATTACTTATTTGAATAATTGTTTTCTTTGACGGTTTATTTGAATTATAATCCCATTGGGAATGAAACTTAGAATTTTTCGTTAATTAATTTCGCTTTAAATCGTATAGTAAGGAGTTAAAATACTTTTTTCAAAAATAGGGATTTTATTATTAAAAATTATCCGTGAATGATAGAAATACTTTGTTTTGTGGGACGATTGTAAGTTGAGGAATGCACAGCTACCTCTTATCACATTCTCAGCTTTCTTCGTACACCTGGATTCGGCTTCTTAAGAGTACTTGCACCAAAATAAACAAAGTTACCACAAACATTCATTTTTTCTGTTGCTGTTCTGCAGCATAGCAAAAACGTTTTAGCAGAAAATATAGTTTTATCCTTTTTTTGAAATTCCTTACATTTACGAGTTTGTACTTTCTTTTACGAATACGTTGCAATATCCATTACATTACTACATTCATTGCAGTGTTAGCGAAATGTGAAGTATGATATTTATAATTAAGTATGAAGAGCGAATTATTGTTGTATAAGGGCGACCACATCTTAAAAATTTCGAATCGGGGCATTGTTGACAGTTTCTTGACTCAGAAACTGGGCACATGCACAACACAAAATGCAACATCCAGGTAATAGTAAACTACTTTTTTTTAATTGATGGAAATGAAGAACACCAATAAAAGGAAAATAGGTCTACAATTTTTTATTTATTTAGGATATTAATTGAGGAATTAATGAACAATACCTTCTTTGAAAATTGACTTAAACAGCCTACAAAGCCGGAGATAATTACTCTCCATTATATGTTGGTTAAAAATCATTAGACAGTACTGATTGTCCGTTCATATTTGAACAAGATTCATTCTTTGTTTCTCAATATTCATTGAGTTTTTTCCGTCCATTTTATTATTATGATACGTCAAGTCAATTATCCATAAATTATGTTTATAACTCCATTGTAAACCAAAAAATTGAGGATGTAAATAATCTATGTGACTCATTGCGATCAGATCAGATATTGGTCTTTTTGCGGACTCAATTTCTGCGTTATACTTGGTGTCCGGGGAAACCTAAAATCTTTTCTTTTCTCCTTTTCTCAGTAAAAAACCTTTAATAAACATGTAGTCAATTCTTCTTGTATTAGTGATATTTGCATGGTTAATTTTGTGTAGAAGTGAAGCGGTTGGTACTGATCAAGCGCGCGAAACTGGATTAGAATAGCCCGTCAGAATCAAATGCGGCACATTAATCAGGACGACATTCAGGTTTATTCGGAGAAACACAGAAACGGTGTCGAATATGGGTTTACTTAGCTATCAGCCTAATTTTGACTGCGGTGACGTGCATTTCGCATAAAAGTACTGCGAAGTTACAGCAACGAGGAATATGCAAACAAAATTCACGTTTAACGTTTTTGTGAGCGGTACATGAATATCACAGACGGGTTGCTAATCGTATTGTACAGTATAAAAGCGTATTTATTAACATCTTTAGAAGGTTCCGAGAAACTGGTTCATTATCTACGACGCTGCCTTTCTCGAGCTAAGGAACAAGCAAGTGACCTTGTTGTGATAGAAGCCGAAGAAAATCCATTAGCCAGTGTAAGAAGAGTATGTCCTCGGTTGGGTGTTGGGAAGAATGCAGTATAGATATTCCTTCACAATGAAGGTTTGTATTCTTATAAAGTTTGCAATGTTCAAAACTTACAACTACAAGACAAAATTGCAGTTTTGTACCTGGCTTTTCAAAGACCTGATATTTGAAGACAGATATTAATCACAGACGAGACACAGTTCACGAAATATTGAATAATTAAATCTAGAAATAGTCATTTATGAGCACCTTCTAATCCACTCTCCTGACCTTAATTTTAGGGTCAATTAATAAGTACTAAACACGCAAAATTTTGACGACAGAGCTGCTCTTGTAACGCGAACTTCTGTTGTTCTTGACGAACTCGTGAGGAACAGGGAGGTATTGGAGTTAGTAACGGCTTCCGTATTATGACGGGCTGAGTTGTGCATCAAAGAAACACATTTTGAACGTCTTTTGTACGTGTACGCCACCGACAATTTAAAGTCGCGCTAAAGCTGATTTGTAACAAAATTTATTTACAAAATCGCGTTACCGGGTTGTCAGTGTATGTGTTCATTGCATGTCGTCTTAATAAAACCAAGCAGCTGTTTTGTTTTATTTGTTGTGTTCTTTAAATGACATCTTCGAGACAAAGTAGTGACGTAAATATTGTACCAGAGTAACTTTTTCTAAAGCAGTACTGCCAATTGAGTAGTTGGCAGAAATGTGGCATTAGAAGTCTCTTCCGACATTACACTCTGAACTTATGTGTCGTATTGTATGTTGTGAAATAGTTCAGTAGTAATCGTTGTAACTATCATTCTGTCGTTGAGTGTTGCCAATATGTCGAGTTGAATGTATCGTATACAACGATGTAATTTCCGCGACTCGCCTCTCTTCAATATACGATACTTACATAAGGTACGAAGGGAGTACGGTTGCAAACATATAAATTACATTAGTGATACATAATTTTATTAAATGAGGTTTCATGGCATTTAGTAAGCGACCACTTACCGACCTAAAAGACGTTTCACGTCAAACTCGGTGAATAATTGTCGCCCTATTTCTTGTACTAACTTCTACTTGTACACCATTTCTGAACCCAAATAAAAGCTTCCTTAGGCGTCGTTGCTGAAGATCTGTTAAATTTCTACACAATATTACACACTTCTCCACGTGGTAATTGCTAGTGTGCACCTGCTTTAATTTAATTTATTTGATCGGTCACAGTGGGTTGTCTGAAACAAGACGACCCCCAGTCGGATTGGCAAATGTACGTCCTAGCTACGCCGTGTTACGCACGCACGCACGCGAAGATCCCCCAAGCGCGACGAGCCATTTACGAGATTCACGTTTATCGCATAATGTCAATTTTATCCACCAAAATGACACTAAATTATGCCGATTAGCTAGTAGGGTGTGTATAAATAAATGATTTTAGTATTACTTTTTTCGTTCAATGTTGTTACAAGTTGTTTTAGTAAACGAACCTGTGCTAAACGAAATACAATGTAAACGACATATGGGCTGATCGAGTACTGTTACCACTTTGCCAGGTTTCCAGAAAACATTCACGTCACTTCTAGATCCTGAGCAACGATTGCATTTCCGTGAAAACTGCATTGCAATAACTTCAACCGTTTAAAATTTATAGGAGGTGCTAAAGTTACTTAACTCACCTTTACATTAGAGTAGCCAGCGAACCTGGAATCCTTGAAAACCGAAAAAAACGTGATTTTTCGTAATTTTCAGATTTATCCCAACCATTTACCACAAATTCACATACACATCAGCAAAGTCATTGTTTCAACTCAGTGCATGATAATGGCGAGTGAAAATCAAAATATGAGAAGTTTGTACATGTATGCTTGAGGGTTGAAGTTCACTTTCTGGTCTCACACATTCAAACACTGCCGCGTGTGTAGGTGCAACATAGAGTATTCTGTGGATGTCAAAATTCCATTGCAATCGCAGACAACAAGAAGAAAATCCCCGGTAGCACAAAAACTCAAAGGTATCAAGTATCGGCTGCATCGGCGTTAGATGTTTATCGCTGTTAGATGTTTAGCGCTGAAGAGTACTCCAGACGCGGTTCTTTTTGTATTTTTTTTTAAATTTATTCTAGCTTGGCCATTTGCATGGCCCTCTGCAGCCGCATAAGATAAATACATTAATAATGTTTATATACAAGAATCATGTTAGAACAGAACAAACAGAATAAACAAAAAAACTACTATTAGATATAAGACATTAAAGTTGTTATATACAGTAGAGACGCGAAACTTCCCTAAAACAACTACTCCTGAATTGGTTAACTGTGATAGTAATTATATTGTAAGTTATTAGGGTTGCAAAACTTATGAAGACACACTTCTTTTAATACGCCAATTAATCCCACATCAGACATTGGCATTACCACTCTTAACCCATTAACTGACAAATTTCATTTTTTGATCTCAATTTAGTTTTATTTATGTTGCAATGAAATGAATTAAGTTCTTTTTAGAAATTCAGTACATTTTTATTGAAGAAAGTACACTTATAGGAGAAATTCTTATTTGGGGATCACAACAGTTCATGACTATTTTCTATGCTATGCCTTGAAACACTCTATATGTAGTCATACACATCATTTTACGCATTTTTTGCGCACATTCTTCTTGCAAACGCAACATTTTCTTTGATTGCCTCCATTGATTCTCTCGAGAAAGCTCCCAATATTTGAATATCTGATTTCTCTTGGTATACGACTGGTAGATGTGGCCCTCTCGTCGGATGGCCTTCCTCTGGCTTTTGAGAGAGCTAATTCCGACGAATGTGCGAAATATGCTGTGGCAACAGCTCTTCGGAAAGACAGAAGGGCAATTTTACCATTGGCCATGCAATAGAGAGCATGAGCATTTATAATGCTGTATCGATTGCTTTTTTAAAAATAGGGAAATACCATTTCCCCTCTAATATTTGTTCCATACTTATTCACATTCTAATCTAGCTTATCAACTCCCCTCCATATTGTTGTTGTAATCTGCCAAAAGATGTGGTTGAGATACCTCATTCCAACCAACACCTGAAATTTCATTCTAGATGTCAGACATATAGTCGGATACTCCTCTTTCCTTCTTTCATCTCTTCAGCCTTTGAAATGGGATATCCATTAGTCCGGGATACTCGCACAGTTCCTGTTTCTTTATTGCCAATGGCTTTCAGATACATCATTAGATTGAAGCTAGAAAAAAAGTAATAAAAGTAAACCCTGTGCAAGTGTTGTGTTTTGAGTAGTCTTAAAACTGAAGGTAGAACACTTTCTCCAAGGCCCACATGGCCAGTTTTTTTTTCATTTTTTTACATTTACCCTCATATACATCCATATGGAAGCAATAACCTGTGACGGAACAACAAAGTGCCCATTGTTTAAAACCGAATCTCACAGGCTTTCCTCGGACATGTTTCAAAAAGTGATGTCCAAAGAGCGGATTATTTGTTCGTCTCTACTGAGGCACTCGACGAAAACATCGAACTTCATAAACTGCTCATTGAGTGCATCTATTAAGTGTCGAATATTGAACAGTTAGTCTTTCTCTTGAATGTTTATATCATTTCATTTTGAATTGTCATTCAAATGCAGAAAAAGTTGGATCTACAGATATCGAGATCGACTCATGCAATCTCTGACACATTGCATATTTGTGTCACTATCATCACACCATTAAAACTGCCAGAAAGTGCTAACCTGCCAGGATGAGAATTCCAATAAATTTTCTTGGACAATCTAAAGTCAACTGATAAACATGGTTATTTTGCTAACTTGCAAACGAACATGTTCGCTTACTATCATTTCCATAACCGATTCACTGAATAATTCTTTAAAAACTTAAACAGGATCCCGTAATGAATCGATAATATTCTGTTGACGTTCGTTAATATCATTACCAAAGGAGTACGTCGCAGATTACTTTATTTGTTTTACCCTTTTCCAAACACTATCACCCTTTGAAAACGAATGTAGATTTTTATAATACACGACACTCTGAAACATTGACTTCACCTAATCTTTCTGATTTTGAAGTTGATGTATGCGAGGTTGTAATAGTCTTGCCCAATAGTAAAGAACGCACTATTGGTTTATTAGAGGTGTGGACTTCTAGAGCCCAGGTACATCACAATTTCGCAGGCCCGATTACTCGAGATTGTCATTAATGTCATCTTTGTCTGAGACATCATCTACTCTGTCAGGAGGAGGTTATACGATATCTATAAAATTTTCTTCATGTCATGAAATTCATCGGATTTGAGTATTTCTTCTATTTCCCGTAAACTCAGATAATAATAATCGCCCATACATAATCTGAAATCAAAAACTGAAAAATACTGAAATTGTAATGTCTAGAACTGTTGTGATCTCCAAATGGGGATCATATTTTTAACATTCTTCTGATCGAATTTACTTCTAAATAATATCAAAACATTTTTGAACCTACTATACAGACTATAGGCAACAATATTATAAATAATTCTAACAATATTCTAACAAATTTTAAATCCTTGATCAATCCTGACCTGTCTTTGTCGTGCACTAGTTGCAATTAGTTGGAAAATTCATACTTGAAACGCCATAATCAGGCGTCGATCTGGGTACATTCACGAAGGAACATAAAACGTACAATTTGAAAAGTACTTCAGAACTACTAACCTATTTACGGTTTAAAAAAATTAACTAAAAATTCCGTTTTCACACTTGAGAATCACAACAGTTAATGGGTTAATATACATTATCAACATTTCCTTTCATTGTCGACTACCACTCATCCATCAACAGAATTTTATTACTACTAATACCAATACCCATTCTACTCACATCCCAAAAAACTATTCTAACAAT